GCTTGCCAAGCAGTGCGTTGGTGCGCGCCCGGGATCCAAACCAGCGAACCCCAGGCCACCACAGTGGAGCTCGTGCACTTAACCACTTGCGCCATCAGGCCGGCCCCAGGCTACCTTTTAATACCCATGATGTAAAATGTTTGAAGTACTCTAAGTCCAGGGCCATCTTTAGGAGGCATTAGAAACCAAAAAGGATGGAAGGAGAGTGGACTTTGGGTTTGAAGAATAGAATAGAATACAGTAGAATAGAATACAGTAGAAAAGAATGGCATAGGGGCCAGCCCGGTGGCACAAGCGGTTAAGTGCACACGCTCCGCTGCGGCGGCCCGGGGTTCACTGGTTTGGATCCCGGTCGTGCACTGATGCACGGCTTGGCAAGCCATGCTGTGGCAGCATCCCATATAAAGTGGAGGAAGATGGGCACGGATTTTAGCCTAGGGCCAGTCTTCCTCAGCAAAAAAAGAGGAGGATTGGCAGATGTTAGCACAGGGCTGATCTCTTCACAAAAAAAAAAAGAATGGAATAGAATATAGTAGAATAGTATAGAATAGAATAGAAGAATAACAACAGTTAAGTAATTGACAAGGAGCTTTTCGTGCACCTACATCATTTACTCATGTGATGTTATCATTGTTACTCCCAAATTGCAAATGACTAAACTGAGCTCATGAGGTTAATTAACTTGACCAAGGTCAGAGAGCTGGTGAGTGGGCAGGCTTGAACATGAACCTCATGATCTGTACCAGTCAGAGAAGTAATGTTTACCACCGATTATAAAAACTTCAGATCTTTAATCTGCAAAACCAAGTCTTCCTATATTTACAAAGGGCAGTGGGGGGAGGGGGAGGAATACTGTTGAGAAAGGGTAATCAAAGGAACTTCTGACACTCAGGAGGACGAGGCTGACCTAGCTGGGAGCCCTTTCCCTACAGACATACGGAAATGCTGGATAAAAAGTTGCCCTGTCTTTAAAAGGACACTAAAATAACTGCTCCCTAGCCCAGCAAACCAGTAAACAGGATTATACTTTTCCCTACAACTTGAAAGAAAAAAATAAAAGAGGCATCCATTAGAAATTAAACTCCAAATTTACAGTATCTTATGACATGGAGCCAAAACCTGGGAAATTAATATGAAATTTAGTCCAGGATGATTAAAATCCTTAGGTTTATGGCAGAAGCAAGCAAAAATTGCCCTATTGGAACTTTCATAATTTGGGGCATATCAGACTTCTACAGGGAGGAGGGAGGAAAAATGAGTTCACAATAAAAACTTACAAACCATATGAGGAAATAACAACAATGAGGAGAGTCAATAGCACAAACAACAGGAAACTAGAAGCCCAAGTATTGTACAATATTTAACAATCATAAGGAGACTATCAAATAACTATGTTTCAAATGATTGAAACAACTTTAAAAGGAATAGAAACTTTAATGGAAGAACAGGACAGTACCAAGGACAAGGCAAATTTGTAAAGTAAACATGTGGAAATAAAAAACACACTCACAAATTAAAAGCTTAACTGTGGTGGAAAAGAGGTGAAATGAGAATCAGGGAAGTGGAAGGAAGTGCTGGGACGGCAGCTGAAACTTGTACAGGTTGTCACCCTGTCCCTCCAGCATCGCTTTGTTTCCACAAAAAGGTAAGTTTTACCGTCACATTTCTTTCCCCAAAATCGAATTCCAATCCTATAGTCAGAGAACAATAGAACACAGAAAACAGCCTTAAATTTTCAAACCCATATACACCTCCTAATAAAATGAGACTTTTAAAATACCAAACTGTTGTTAGAGAAACTTCTTTACCATATTCTTGGCATGATTTGAATAACTGCTATGTATTCACAAACATGATATCAAATGCATGTATTAAAAATAAATTTGGGGCTGGCCCCATGGCCTAATGGTTAAGTTAGGCGTGCTCCGCTTCGGCGGCCCAGGTTCAGTTCCTGGGTACAGACCTATACCACTCGTCAGCAGCCATGCTGTGGCAGCGATCCACATACGAAAAATAGAGGAAGATTGGCACCGATGTTAGCTCAGGGCGAATCTTCCTCAGCAAAAAATAAAATAAAATAAAATAAAAATTGCAGCTTATGAATGAAACTCAAGAAGAAATTAATTATACCTTGAACTTCCAAAATATTCACAAAAAGATCCCACACTATTTTTAAAACTTATGCAAGGCTTACGATCATTGATCAAGTTCTGAGATCACTGATTCCTGTTCTCAAAGAACACTATGTTCACTTGACAAAAGGGCTATTGTGTTTAACTTAACTGCTTTTTCTAGTACAACTTTAAATGTTTTACAGCTTTAAGAGGCTTAATTTTTTTAGAACTTTTTATTGTTAGATTTTCTTCTTTCATCCTTCCTTCCTTCTTCCCCTTCCTCCCTCCTTTCCTCACTGCCATTCTTTTTCTTCCCTCTCTAGTTTATTGAAGAACTGTTACTTCTGCACATGTTATATAAAATTATATTGGGATTATAGAGGTATAGGATAGTCATCATATCTTTAAAAATACATCTTTTTTTTAGCTTATATCTTAAAAAAAATTTGTTCAGCTCTGGACATCCTTCTAATTGAGACCTGAGAAGATTGAAAAGAATTTCTAATTCACCCTGTTTTCATTTCTTATACCCTCACCTTTCCTCTCCATTAGCAGTCTTGGTAAAATTGTGGAACTATTTAATTCTCATGTGAAAGTTGTATTCCAAGTGTAAATGGAGGTGAAAAATATGATTAAAGGAAAGATATAATTCTGAAAAACTGGAGTAGTGGCAAGATTGTAAAAGGAAGAAATTGCATACTAATTACAGCTTCTTTGTTCCATCAAAAATAATCAAACCTCTAAGTAACTATGAAGTACCATGCTTTATATAATTTAATTTTTAGAACTGAAAATTATTAGTCTACTTGATTAATTTTTAGGTTCTAGAGATTAATAATATAGTTTCTGTAAATTTGGAGCTAACTGAAAAACAGGTTGGAAAAGTTACAGCATTCAGATCCCAATAATTCCCTTATTCCTTATTTAGTGCTATGTATTTCTAGCCTTTTCCTATCTTAGAAATGGAAGTTTCAGAAAGATTTTTCAGATTCAAAGGCTTTGACAGAAAGTTGAATTTGAATGCTAGTTGTGATCTCAATTACATATTGATTTACATTAAGGAAGAAGTTCATTTTAAAAACTAAAGACTCTGAAGTAGATTTCTTCTGTTAGGCATTAGTTAGAAATGCTTTTGGTTACAAGGAACAAAACTGACAACAAAGAGCTTGCTCTGACTTAAAAAGAGGGGATTTATTTTCTTCCCTAACAATAAGTCTGGAGGTGGGTTGGTGTAGGCATTACTCAGCATCTCAGTCATGTTAGGGCTGCCAGCTCTGTGATTCATCATGATGGGCCTGTCTTTCAACTCTAGTTCATAAACTAAATAAAAAATAATAACTAAATCATCAGAGATCCATGGACCACTGACTTGTTTAAAGGTGAGGGAAGGAAGGAGGACCTATAGAAGAGGTAGTATGACAAGTTTAAAATTTTTTATTTAGTCAAGATTTATTTTTACTTTATTTTTCACATTTAATTTTCTATTAACCCAAGTTAACATTGTTTGAAAATTATTAGATGTTTAAATACTACTGTGTTTTCTTTAACATAGTGGGGAGAGCTGACAGACTTTCAGCCTTTGATCATATGTTCCTTGGCCCAGAATGAAAGCCACAGAGGTCCACCCACCACCCACCCTTAACTGTTGCCTCCCTCCTCACCACCCTCGTTGATTTGTCTAACACAATTCAGTGGAATGATTAGAGTTTGGAGTCTGTTTTTGTTCTCAAAAATAAATAACCTTTTTACCTTTACTTTACAAGTAATACATTTTAATTGCCAGTACATTTGAAAATAAAAAGAAGCAAAAAGAAAAATGCCTGTAATGCCACCTCATAAATAATAATCACTGTCAACATTCGATGTAGATCCCTCCATATCAATAACATATGAATGTAACTACTACCCCATATACATATTTTTAAAAATAAAAAGAGGATATATAATTTTTAAGAACTAAAATACAATTAAACTTGTCTGATACCTACTTTTTTCACTCAAAAATCAATTTCCTGTTCAGGTGTTAACATTTTAACATGAAAACTCAGATCAGCTCTGTGGACCACGCTGTTATTATTTATCAGTCCCCCAAATAGAGTAGGACTACACGCATCCTAAATCTTTCATCTTTGTTTCCTTTCACAGATCTATTGGTTTAAAGATGGAAAGCAGATCTCTCCAAAGAATGATCACTACACCATTCAAAGAGATCTCGACGGAACCTGCTCTCTCCATGCCACAGCTGCCACCCTAGACGATGATGGGAATTACACCATTATGGCTGCAAACCCTCAGGTAAAGAAGGGTATAGGTCTGGCTTCAGTTCTGTGTATAGTGCTTACAGGCATTTATTTGGACAGAAGAACTGTTTAAATAAAAGGTGGAATTATACTTCTTTGACTTGAAACTATTTCCCCAAATTCTACATCCATCTTGGTTTCAGAGGATAGAAAAATTCTGTTTCACGAGTATTTATTTATTCCATCAGGTGTTTTTCTACATGAATAATTCTGGTGCAGATGTGCATTCTTTCCACAAATATTAGTGAGGGCTTAATATGTACACCTCTTATGTAGGTGATGGGGTTTCAGTGTGGACAGGACAAAGTCCTAAGATAGAAAATAAACCAGTAAACAAATACATAAATAATATCATTTCTGATAGGATTAAATTCTATGAAGAAAAAAGGAGAAAAGGATAGTGAGTAGCGTGTATATGCTGTAGCAGAAAAACTCAAAAAAGTAAAATATTTAAAATACACGTACACTTACTTAATTCAATGGGATTTAAGAAACGTATAAGTGTAGATAAATTATAATTTTGATAGTGCCCATGTATAGCATTCAGCATTTTTCGTTTGTTTGTTTCCATCCAAATGTTTTCTTTTGTGTTTGCCCTTAGATTTTGGGTCAAAAAATCAATTGACTACTTCGAATTTAATAGGCAGCTACTGGATATCATGTTCCCAGTTCAAGCCAGCAAATTCTTTTTCATTGAGTATCTTGTATATTTTAGGCACTATGCTGGATATGAGGGACACGCACATAAAAAAGAAGTGATTTTGTACCTTAAGAGCTCAATGTGTGACAGGATAATTTTATGAAGTCTGCAGAAGTCATGTAAATAACATACTCTTTTTGAAAAAAAGGAAGCTAAAATTAACCATTTTATTATATAACTAATGAAAATTGTCCAGAAGTATCTTTTTAAAATCTCTGATTTATATCATTCTGTATTTCATTATTTACTTTGAAGGAAATATTAAGTGTTAGAAAATGATACAAATAATTTTAGCAAAGCTTACAAACTTTTAAAAGTTGGTACAGTGTTTATCCTGTTTTAATATTACATTGTCATATAAAGATATTTCTGCAATAATACTGAGATTAGAATGAAACTCAAGGTATCGACAAATCAGGTTGTGATAGAGCACAGCAAACTCTTCACTGTCAGTGAACAATTTCCATATTAAGGCCCCTTCTGGAGGTTCCAATTTTTTAATCGATGAATACATGACCATCACCTTGGAAAATAGTCAAAATCACAGCCTTTACTAAAAAGTTGCATTTTAATGCTTATTATTTGTGTTCATGTTTGGTGTATTTGAGGAAACAAAAGTGGAACTTGCTATTTTTTTTCTTACTGTATTTTCAGTGTGTTTCCTTGACTGTCATTAACAAATTTCAATTTTCAGTTTTCTGCCTATTAACAAAACAGTGGAGAACTGAACAAAATCTAAAAATTTTCTTCACGTTGGGTCCTTTATTCCTCTTTCTCCTAGAAAGGCTGGGATATATTACGGAGATAGAATTAACTGTATTCCTTAAGCACTCGCTAGTACTGGGGTCCTGCTATTAATTTTGAGGAATTTTTCCTAGAAAATGTTTCAAACTGTTATTTGAGTAAGCAGTTTTATAGAACAAAAGAACACAGATGTGAAACTGCAATTATGAGTCTGCTTTAGTCTTCTTCAAATTATACTCACGTATTTTTACATGTGGCAAAGTTCTGAATGAGGAAGGACTTACTGCTCACGGCCAGTGGCACTGTGCAGAGCTGAAGCCCACAGGCCAGCCGCAAGGGTCAGTAGTCTCTGAGCATTTAAACGAGGGACAAACTGTGATGAAGTCATTAGACAAAGGAAGGCTGCTGAAGATCCCCCTTGTAAACTTAGAAAAAGAGGAAGGAAAAGAAATCAAAAGAAAGAAATGACAGAGCAAAGACAGACCAGAATTGTAGAGCAATATTGATACTGAAAAGCCTAGATGGTGTAGTTCAGGGGATAAGAGCATGAACTTTGGCATCAGGCAGATCTGAGTTGGAGTTCTAGCTCTGCCACTTGTGACCTATGTGACCCTTAGCACTTAACCTCTCTGTGCCTGTTTCCTCTGCTATGAAATGAGAATAATAATATGGATTTAAATAATGCATGTAAAGCACTCAGTTTACCTGGCACATAATATGCTTTTAATAAATGCTGCTTATTATTATCATATTAATTCAAAGACACTAATAACCCGGTCTTAGAGCAACAGCCCAAAGAGTTGGCAGAAGCTTGTGGAATCAGGATGTAAAGGATCAATTCTCTTTCTAGATATTCCACTCTTACAGGACTGTTAGAGAGTAAGCAAGTCAGTTTGGGATGGAATTTCTACCCAACATGTAGCTGGTGTGTGGTCTTCTGACCTCCTGGCTTTTCCTTTTTACCACCCCTGTGGGAAAGGAGTTCAGCAGCAGATGTGGCTGTGCCACAACTGCCACAGCTGTGGGCGGGTGGAGGGAGCTGTGAGGTAGAGAACGGGCCACACCCACAGCGCAGCTGACACAAGCCACACATGACGCTGGGAAGCTGCTCTCTGCTTCCAGCACACTCAGGGCCAACGCAAGGCCCAAAAGAGAGCAGTCACTGCCCTCATTCCAGGCCCAGTGAATTCTGCTGCTTCACCAAATCCCAGGCTAAGCCCCATGGTTAACGCTTTGTGGTTCTATGCCTCTACCCTTTGAAGAGAAGACAAAGAAAGAAGTGGACCAGTTTACATCAGGTAGCCAAAAGCCTAGCCCTCCTAAAAGAATATCCCATCCCACCTGTTGTTTAAGCAAACAGTAATATGACTGCTCTGGGTCTATCAGAGGGAGCAAAAGATTCAGAGAACCCCAGAGGTCACAGTAACCAGAGTAGTTCCTAATACCTGGAATTCCAGGTGTCTCTCAAGGTTAGAATCCACCCAATATTCTCATTAAAGAGAGTTGGGCTAAAAGTCTCTTTTTTCTACCTAAATGACCAAAGGCAGGCATAGGAGGGGAAACTCATGAAGAGAATCTGAGGAAATCCTGGAAGTGGGCATTTAGGCCTCACATTGAAACTGTAAGAGAATTTTCATATTTGTAGTACTTGGTAGTAGTTGCTGTTCCAAGTTTCTGAGCATGTTGCCTGCTTGATTTTAATTTCAAGAGTAAAACTGCTTTTCTATCCTGGGGTCTTCAGTAGCAGGTATGTCCAGATATGCCAGATGTAGGTTTTATGAGTCATCACCTAAAAATTGGAGTGAACTTCACTACCTATTAGAAAAACAAAGTGGTATTTAAACCATGACAAGTGGCAGACCATTTTTCTACCTAACTCTTGGCATAAGTTATCATTTGTTGCTGTAGGAAAACTGTAAAAGAAATGCTTAACACTGCCATAATCTCAACTTTATAACATCTGTTATTGTATATTAAATTATTTTGCCATTCTCGTAATTTATGAATTAAAACATGATTTAAAAGAACCATGACATAAGTAGGCAATGAAAAAAATTTCAAAAGTAAAAGCCAGATTTTTCAAGATATAATTAATCCCAAAAGCATAACATGTAGTCAACAGAGAACCAAAATTGCTTCCCCACTTCCTTGATGCCCTTTGGTTACCTTAAATTTTTTTCACATTTTAGAAGTATTTGGGTTTGAAAGGGAGACACCTACATCCATTTTTTTCTGGTGCATTCATGCGAAATGACCAAGGGAAAGAGGAAAAGGCTGGAGTGGAAAAATTAGTTCAGTAATGAAACACAGACGGCAGGGCTTTCCTGAGCAGTGGAAAATAATTACAGAAAGCAGCCAAGGGAAAGGGTGAGAACCAAGGAAAGAGGAAAATACTCAAGTTCAGCAGAATATTTTATAGAATATTTTTCCACCTGGGTTAATCTTTTGGGAATAAGAAACACGTTGGATATTGTTGACTGCATCCAAGTTCCACTTGGGATAGAACACACATCTCTAAACATACACTGGACTGTGTGTTATGCTGAGTGTGTGCCGCTCAGGCAATTCATGAGAGACCAAAGCAATCACATAGTTTAGTGAAATAATGAGTGATGGTGCAGGGTTACACCAAACATAATGCCAAAATGAGGATCACATATACAGTTTATTTTAGACTCTAATCCTATCTTTAAGACGCAACTGAATCTAAACACAAATGTTTTACTTTGTTTTGTTGTGTTGCTAGGTTACGCTGTATTGCACTTGGATTTTGGAATGGCTGCTTTGCAGTTTGATGTTTCCTAAAATTGCATTGTGTATACAAGTGGCAAGCTTTCACAAAGACCTGTGTGCCACAAGTTAAATTTCATACACTAGGAAATATAAATGTTATTTCCATATTCTATAAATAATTGGCCTTTCACAAGGCATCAAATAATCTTTACAAGCTGGATGTTTAATACAGAATCACTTTAAGAATTCAAACTTATTACTTGTACTATAGCTTTAAACTCTGCGGACTTGTTTGGAATAGAAAAGTAACACACAGCTGAGTTAAATTTAAAAAGTTGGTTTGTTGATTGTGTTTTGTTTTAGCATTTTAAGGTTTCCTGGCTCATTTCAAACTTAACTTTAAACATTCGCTTCCATTGCTACTTCATGTGTTAATAATAAAGCAGATAGAAATGAGAAAGATAAAAGCAAATGCAATAGCATTAATGTGCATCAGAGCCTACTATTTATGATGATTATTAGGGTTAATTGGCACATTAGTATGATTAAAATTATTTAATGCTAATTTTGTATGATTTTCCTCATAAATAAGACATTTAGATGTAAAAACCTGAACTTTCAGTTGTGCACATTGGAGGCATCTTTTCAAAAATGCTTCACTGAAATCTGGATTTTTTCCCCAAACAAAAATGTCAAAATTGTACAATTTGTTAGTTTGGATGCTTTCTAAATGCTCCTGGTCATTTATTGATTAGTAATATATTTAGCCAATAACACTATATTATCAAACTGATAATTCTGCCTCCTGCAGACCATGCCTTTCCCCTTTATGTTCAGAAGGGAAGGATGATGTAGGAGTAAAAAGGTGACAAATGGTAACATACTCCTTTTTCTCAAATTTGGGAAGTTAAGGAAATATTCTGTGGCAATATTTGTGCATTTGGTTCTAAGCAGTAGCAGTAAAAATCTTGAGAACATTGTAGAAATGTGTAATCTGTACAGAGTAGTATGCCAACCTGTTTACCCTATTTTTTGGAGGGAGGAGAAGAGACAGGGTTTATCCTAAGCATAGTCAAATGGTTAGAGTTGAGTAGGACATCCTTCATCTTACACCTCAAATGCAGCCATCACACAGACAAACACATTGAATATACCTGTGTGCTTAGCACCTTTCAAACACTAGCCTAAGTTAGAAAGGTTGATCTACTCTCCACGTATTCTGCCTCCTGTGCTAAGAGTATTTTGTTTTTCCTTTGGAATAAATTAAATCCTAATAGCAAAAAAAAAGAAAACTCCATTACATATGAAAGAAATTGTGTTTAACAAAAAAATTCTAAGAGATGCTTCATATTCATCTGATTATTATAATTATATACATATTCAGTGCTATAATAATTTAACATTTTGAGCATTTACTGTGTGCAAAACACAATACCAAGTACTTGACACCTTTTAACTCATTTAATCTTCATAAGAACCCATGCAGGATTAACTGTATGGTCCTATTTTACAGATGAAGAGTTTACTTAGGAGGTTAAGTTACTTGCCTAAAGTCATTCAACTATAAGGGACAGAACTGGTTTACAAACCCAGACTGACTCCAGAGCTAAGGAGTGTCATACGAAGGTGTCTGGGGCTCATCCCAGCGTTAGGAGCACTGAGGGGCAGGGGAAGTATTGGTTAAAAGAGGTATTTGAAGGAATCAAAAAAGGGGGTAAGAGCATACCTCAAGCAAAGTATATCTACCTGGAAAATTTTACTGGAGTCAGCCAAGCTGCTGGAGCCCCTAAAAATCATCTTGATGCATATCCATGCATATATACTGTCTCAGACCCACAGTAACACAATACCAGCAATGATGCATTTAGTAAGGATAATTGATGACAAGTACTATTTGATATTTACAAGATCATCTAAGGTTATATCATTTAATCGTAACAACATTCTTGTGAGATGGATACAGCGCCCCAGTTTTTACAGAAGAAACAAAGGCTTGAACAAATTCAGTAATTTTCCCAGTTTTAGGAAGGTCAAAACTCAAATCCAGGTTAAAGGAATTCTTTTTTTTAGGCAACCAATATCTGCTTCCCCAAATTCAAGGTTAAAGGTTGAATTTAACTTATATCTTTTTCTAACCACATAAATGATTAGTTAATCTTAACTTCCCTTGTGGATCCTCTGGGTTTTATACTACAAGGAAAAATCTATCCAAATAATACAAATCTATTTTATTTTTTATTTTTTGCTGAAGAAGATTCACCCGGAGCTAACATCTGTTGCCAATCTTCCTCTTTTTGTATGTGAGCTGCCACCACAGCATGACCACTGACAGAGGAGTGGTGTAGGTCCGCGCCCAGGAACTGAACCCGGGCCCCCAAAGCAGAGAGCACCGAACTTAACTGCTAGGCCACCAGGGCTGGCCCCAAATCTATTTTAATCTATCCAAATTTAAATTGTTTGCTGAAGTAGCAGAGCAAACAGTCAGGAAGCCATATCCCATATCAGTACAGTTGAAGGTATTTGTGTAAAACAAAACATACACTACCTTGTCCTCAAGCTCCAGAGAGAATCATGAATCTTATATGTTCATTTGTTAAAGCATCTACTAGGATGCGTCAGTTGGGTTATTTATAAGGGGGGTCTTCTAAGCAAGTCACATCTAGATTTCTATAGCAGGTATAGATTGAGTGTACGAGTTAGATGAAATTAATTTTCAGATTTTAAGCTAGCGTAAGGAATCCTAAGTGTTTGCCAAGAGCTCAGCATGAGAGAACTTATATCATGTGGCCTGAACTTTAGATACAATTAATCTCAGTTAGAAATAATTCCCCTTCATAATGCTATACTTCATGTCTCCTTGGAAATTTTCAGGAAAGGCAGTGTTTTAACTGTGACCTCAATAGCAAATATTGTGAATGCTAGAGAAAGTTACATATCTAGTGGGATAAGGCTACTTGAGTGTGTTTCTTTGCTACCACCTCTTTCTATTTGGTAATTCCTAATTCTTCTCCTGTCTGTACTACATACTTATCTGTATTGCCTTTTCTGGGTGATTATGGTCCTTAAGAGGTCAAGGCTTTGGGGAGACCTGGAGAGCCTCACTGACTGGAGTCTTGCCCTAAACCGAATCCTGCTATGGGTTTTTCCCCCCTGTGATCCCTTCACCAGTGTCCTCTCCCTCACCCCAGCCCACTCTCAGTTGGAACTCAGAAAGCAGTTCTTCAAAACAAACAGAACACCTCTGCTTCTGTTACCTGTCTATATTGGCAACTTGGAACGAAAATGGGAGTCAATGGTACATTTTATTTTGACTGTAAGTGCACATGAGGGCTGCTTGTCAACCTTGAGCGAGAATTCACTATGTTTAATCATTAAGAATAAATCTGCTTCTCATTTTTCCTCTCTTGCTATTTCCTTTTTTTTGGCCATTGTCAGAATTTAGAAGTACATCTGCTGATTCTCCTGGGAGATGAGAGGAGAAAATCCTCTCTTTTGCTACTTTGCTAGTAATAGTGAGGGGAAAAATTAAGAGAAGAGGCTAAAACAAAAAGCCAGAGTAACAATGGATGATTTATTCATGTCACCTGGGTCCTCTAACTAAATATTACTTTTGTCTATCGCTATGACAGCATTTAACAAATTTTCAGTTGACTAAGAGATAAAATATAGCTTTTCATTAGATAGGTCCTTATCATATGACCCACATATTTTAGGTATTTAACTGCTTCTGGTTTTTAAATCTCAAATTTGTTCATTTCACGTGAACATAGTGTCCTACAGTCATTATGCTCTCCCTGTCATCCTCATGCATACTTCTTACATAATGATCATTTTATCATGCTGGCATCTCTTTTAACATGTGGTTTTCAGAAGGGATACTACTAACATTTAAAAAATACATTATTAAAAAGATCTGACAGAAAACTAAAGTCATCTAGTTTGATTTCAGAATTAGCTACAGCCAGTAGATATTTGACTATGAAAATGGAATCATCACAAGACACTGATGTCCTGCTATATTTTACAACTCAACTTCATGTGTTAAGGAGACATTAGCAGATTACAATTAATTCAAGGAGGGTTGTCATTTTAAACACCATCCTAGATAAAACAGTAATGCTTATTTAACAGTTCAGAGAAAGACCTTGTCTCCTGAGTTCTTTAAATAAATATAGAGTTTTACTGAAGAGTTTAATTCAGGGAAAGTTAACTCCTCACATTTCTGAGAGGGGTTGGTGTCATGGCTAATGTGGCACACTGATTTGTTAAGAAATAATTTCTTATGGAGAATAGGACAATAGACATGATGGTGCTTAATCGTTAGTTGTTTTGCATAGCAAATAATTTCTTTTCCTGATATCTCTGACAGGGCCGCATCAGTTGTACCGGACGCCTAATGGTACAGGCTGTCAATCAAAGAGGTCGCAGTCCCCGCTCTCCCTCAGGCCATCCTCATGTCAGAAGGTATTTCAGATATTCCTTCCCATAGGTGTTACTATTATTTTATTTATTTATTACTATATATTCAATACTATTAGAATCATAGTATGACCTAAAAGTGAACATAGTTGGAAGACAGAATGTGAATACAGTCTTACTAAGTGTATACAGTATATGGCTTCTTGATTGTGAGCTCCTTTGCAACTCAGAAAGGGGAAGGGAGCAAACATTTGCTAATGTTTATAAGTCCATTCAGATATACCATCACTAGTTTGTTAAATAAGGTCCCAATCTATGAAGAAATCAAGACTCAATAACTTTAAATGGTAGGCACATTAACATGAAAATACTAGTAAATGGTACACAAATGTTCAAAACCAAACTTCTCTAACCAGCAGCTTTGTGGATTGACCATTATAAACTACTGCCACTAGATTTCCTAAAATCATCGTTTGCTCATGTTCATTTTTCAGTTACTTAGTTCAAAACAGTTTATTTTAGACCATAATCTTGTAGGTAAGATTTGTCATATTTTAAATGCTCAACAAATATCTGCTAAATAGAGTGTGCTTTCCGTTCCTAGTAGCCCTGAGTTTATGCAAGGATGCTGACAGAATGATGGAAGGCAGGGACAGGCAAAGCATATTACTTCTTAGTAACATATTTGCACTTAAAAAGGAAAATGGTAAGTCAACCAGCCTGTCATCTTGGGTTTCTATTTAGATATTTTACAGACAGAGCATGCTCAGATAGTCCCGACTGTAAAGTACAGGCCACAGATGCAAACACCTTTGGTGAAGAGAACACATACTATGATAGGCTCAGAGAAGGTAAGCAGGAAAAACTGAGAAGCACCAAACAAATGGTATGTCTACACCTCCTCACGTGACTGGATCAACAGAGCCCTTTGTTCAGCATTCGGAAGACAATTCTGGCACCTAAGCACATGCAGATTTAATTCTAACCTATTTGTGGCAATGTCTGTTCACAGGATCCTAGGCCTGTATAGCTGTTAACACAACATATTTAATGGCGTATCTATTTTCTTGCATTATTTTCTTCTGCTTTTCTTGAGGTCTTCAATACATTTAAGCTTTTCCATGTATCAGTGTCTCCTAGAAAAACATTTTGCTCATAAGTTAGACCTGTACTTAGAAAAGAGTAAACTATATAAAAAAGCTGATAATTATTAGCCTATTATACTAATGTTTCATTTGTTGCACTCTTACTTTTTCTAGTTAAGTGTTTTTAAACTTATCTTCTAGTGATTACTAACAGATTTTGTATTCAGCATCTTGCTCTTTTCTTAAGTCTTCCCTGCAATTACTTTAAATTGTATTACTCTTAAAGGGACCTCTGGCAACATACTTACAAGCAAGAGAAATGCACAAAATCTGGGAGATTTGCACCATTTTATTTTAAAGCAAAAAAATAGTGTCTTTACACACATGGATAACTGATGCAAAAGAAAACCTACCTAAACATTTGTTTTCCTGGTTCATATGAAAAGGAATTTTGATTTGAAAGATATTGAATTTTCACAAAATAATAAGAACTTTTAATTTCCTATAAATTTAAAATCACAAGTTATAGTAATTTCTGTTGAAAAGATTTGGTAATAAATAAATGAGCAATGAGCAACAGCTGCTATTTCTCATACAGCTTTAAAAATATTTAGGAAAAAATAGGTCAACCTACAGTATCCCATTTTTTCCCATGACACCTTTTATGATTTATACTAGCTTTAAGGATTAGGACAGCAGAATTTTTTAAGATCTGCAATTAGCAGACTATTAAGTTTATAATAAACTTCTAAATGAAACAAGATTTTGGTTTGCTGACTTTATGTGTAAACCTTGAGGATAGGAATCAGGTAAGGAAATTATATTATTACCCCACGTATTATAAAAAAACAGATGACTAAGATCCTGGAAATAACTACTATCTTTCTTTCTTTCTATCTGTTATCTATCTTGTTCTAAGGCCTCGTTCTAGATCAAGGGACAGTGGAGATGAAAATGAACCAATTCAGGAGCGCTTCTTCAGACCTCACTTCTTGCAGGCTCCTGGAGATCTGACTGTTCAAGAAGGAAAACTCTGCAGAATGGATTGCAAAGTAAGTTTGTTATTGCCTGCAAATCTGTTGCCTCCCTTTTCTCCTCACTGCCATTACTCTTTAGTTCCTTTTTGGGAAATTATATCAAGTATACATCTTTAAAATGTTTTCCAGCTTAAGAGAAAAAAAAAAAAAAAGTGAAATATACTGGGTGTTTATGTACTGTTTTAAATCATTCTTTTCCTTTACTGTTAAATTTTTATTAAATATCTTCTTTATTTAGAACTCTAATACCATACTCCAGAAAGTCACTGGGAGGTTTTATCCCTTTAGGTTTTCCATTTTGTTGAAGTCATAAATGTGTTGAATCTGTCATATGTCCTAATCATTAATTAGTTGATCATCATTCTTTATTCATTGAGATTTTGTATCCATATGTCTACTTTGACTTTTATTCCTCCTATTTTCTATTTCTAAGAGAAGTTAGGGTGACATCCTTCTTTGACCTGTTTTACAGCAGGGCTTCTTAACCAGGGTCCGTGGGTAGGCAGGTCTCATTAGGCGGATGAACTCTGAAATTGTGTATGTGATACAGCTTTCATCAATTTCTCAAAGGAGCTCGAGGCCAAAACTGCTCTGAAATTTTTTTGATAGTTTTGGGATTTTTTCCCTCATTATTTACTGATCTTAAATTTAAAATTTAGCTCCTAAATATAGATAAGGTTTTTAAGAATTATTTGGGCTCCCTCTGCTGGTTCTCTCTGGGCTTGCAGCACACAAATATTAAGGTGTTTAGAGGATTTGGGCTTTATTTTTTCAAAAAGGAAATCTGGGCTTGTAGAAATGTATAAAAATAAATGTATTCTTAACAAAAGTATTTTATTTTCCAGCATAATTCTTTTTACAGTATAAGCACACAAACTGAGTTTCAGTGTATGTGTATTTATATGTATGTGTATTTATTTTTGGTCTATAATTAACAGTTCATACAGACCACCTGTAAAATGACATTTGAGTCAACAGGGGAAATTTTATTTTATATAGATTATTAGATGATACCAAGGGATTATTATTAATTTATGTGTAAAAAGAGAATTGTTCTATTATGTAAGAAAAACCCATATTTTTTAGAATGATACAGGGCTATAGAGGAGTAAAATTACATAATCTAGATGATAGATATATGGAGACTCACCAAACTATTAGCTTTACTTTTAATGATATTTAAGAAAGAAATCATTTATTTCAGGGCACAGTGACATAACTGTCCTTGGAATGCCTGTCATTAAAGAATATTGGAAACCAAAAGTCATCTCTCTGCTTGTTGATTTCACTATTATGATCTGACCTGGATAAATAAAATGTTGTGGAAAATCTTGTCACATGAACAGATGGAGTGTGACCCAGTTCAGAAAAAAAAAAATTATCAGTGTATTTAAGCTTAATTTAAGAGGGAAAGAAGTCATGAAAATAAGCCAGTCACTAAAGCAACAGCTAGGTTTCCCCCAGAAAGCACCCCCCCTTTTTAACTCCTTAGGTCCGTTCCTAGACGCTGACTACCCTTGACTTGGTACTGAGTCATAAGGGAACATAACTAATCCCACTCTTTAGTAACAAGTATGCTCCTCTCCCTCTTCCTATTTCCATGTCAGCCGAAAGCACAGATCGGTTCAAATTATGACCTGCTTACAATGATCTTGAATTTCTGAGATCAGGCTTTCTTTACTGACACACCCAAGAGGGCTGGGGTTAGAAGAGGGGTAGAAGAACGGGGTGTTTTCCCCATGCCTTAACGTGAATAACTCTGTCCACTGGCTTGGGTGCCCGGTCAATCAGGGGCCTGAGAGTGCACAGTGGTTTGGGCATCTCTCTACAAGATATGCCATGGCCTCAGTCAGTCCAGGGCCCTGCTTGTCTAGGGTCTAACCTAGTCAAGTGGGAACAAGCAGCAACACTTCATTTCTCAACTTGGGAAGGCGTGGAGCCTGACCACAAGTGTCCACTCTCTCTCCCTCTCACCTCTGGTGACCTCCAGACAGGTAAAGTAGTGTGTGTGGAGAGCTGGGGGACAGCAGGTGGACAGATGGGAGAACAGAGAGCCTGACCCTCTCAAAAGCCAAGCTGCCGAACTCCTGCTGTTTGTTTCCAAAATCTCTTCATCCTTTAAACCAGTAATTTAAATTTACTTTATTTTCTTTTCTTTAAATTCTCTAGACCTTTGCTACATGTGTGAGGGGAGGCATCTTGTAGGCAGTATAAATGAGTATACTGAGTATCACGCAGCAGGAATGGAATTTGTGAGTTCTCTGGCTGATTTTGGCAGAGCTGGTTCTTCAAAAGAATTGTCTTACAGTCCAAATGACATCTTTTTATATGTAATTTCCCATTAGTAAATTTGGGGTGGGGGTAAAAAGCCTTCCTTAATGGTGCTTTTCTCCCCATTCTCCCCAATCAAAAGCAAAACTGTAAAGAGCTGACAGATGGCAACCATCCCTACCCTTCACAGCACAACGACGTGTTATTAGCAATTAAATGTGCTTTTATCTGATCTCTGGTCAACACAACTGTCATGGTCTCAAGATTTTATGATGGTTCCATTGTGATGCTAATTTGTTGAGATGGCTTTATGGGTAATTTTGTGTTGCTTTTGTTACTTAGTTTCAAGGATTATAAAATAATAATAGCCCTATGTGCTGATGGATGCATTAACTAATGTCTCCATAGCTATGGCAACTCTTCAATGGGAAGCTTTATAATGTACAAATGCTGAGTATTTGTTATTGTTATTATGGTTGCATATCTTTTTTCCAAAGAGCTCAGAGCCTTGTGCTGACATCATCATAGTCTTTATAACCTTGGGTGAAGTATAATAATCACAGAAATTTTTTTAGTCCCCATTTCACTTTTCCCTATGTTGCTCTATAAGAAATGTTTAGAAGTGAGCCTATGAGCCTATGCTTAGGAAGCCATTGAGAGGTTTCAAGCAAAAGAGTAACCTGAGTTGATACTAAAAACTGTCTCTTGTACTCCCAAAGGAGGAATTGACGCTGGTTTCTGAGCTATTAATGACTTCACTGTTTTAATAGTAGAGAAATTTATATGAATTTCCTTTCTGGTTTAGGTCAGTGGGTTACCAACCCCAGATCTAAGCTGGCAGCTAGATGGGAAGCCCATCCGCCCCGACAGTGCTCACAAGATGCTCGTGCGTGAGAACGGGGTGCACTCTCTGATCATAGAGCCAGTCACATCACGAGATGCCGGCATCTACACATGTATAGCCACCAATCGAGCAGGACAGAACTCATTCAGCCTGGAGCTTGTGGTTGCTGGTAGGCTCATCTGTGAATCCTTTCTCTCTTCCAGAATGAACATCAGATTGAGAAATGTAAACTAATCCTGCATTATTAACCAGTTTGGAAAATAAATCAAACTGTTGAAAAATAGATTAGATTGCATCATCAAAATAGCCAATTAGGACATGTTATAAGGCTTAGCAAGTCAGAAACATTAACTTTTCTTCAGTATAGCCATTATTATTTATCTTTCCTTTCTCCCAGTAGCCTGGCCAAGAAAGAAAAGGATTTTAGCAGCTTTTCTGGGTCATTCTATGTCTCATGAGTGTTGGCCCCCAGTGTTACTAGGGAAAGAGCAACAGCAGCATGGGCTCCAAGAACGAAACTTGATGTATAAGCATTTTCTTATGCATAGAGTTCTACATATATACCTAGTTTTTTAAGTAATGTAATGTGCACTGATTTCCAAGTTCAAAAATTTTAAACAACATTATCATCTACCTCCAATGTCATAGTCCAGTTAACTCAGATTTGCTTTTTAATTGCTTATACTGTTAGGTAAATTCTTTAAAAGTATTGTTATATGAAGTCTTACCCTTAGATAAGGAAAATATATTTATGGAAAGGTTTATAATCCTTAGGAGTTGAGCATAAGATTCTGTTATCTGTTCTCTTTTTAAAAAGAAACATAGCAAAACATAATGTTTATTTCTCAGACCTCTATTTGCAAAGTGCTTCATATACATTATCCCAGTTGGTCCTCACCACAGCCCTGTGAGGGAATCCGAGCAAATTTTCTTCCTCATTTTATAGATGTGGAAGTTAGACTTAGAGAGATTGTGACCCTCCCAGGGTCCCATTTAGTAAGCTGAAGGCCAGACTCAGAGAGTCTGTTGACTCCTAGTGCTCTTCCAAACACTGTGAGCCTCTGAGCTCTGTCAAGAAATGGAGGAACAATGAGAATAAAGCCCAGGAGGTCCTGGCTAAAATCCTGTATAAATGATTCAAGACGTTTGTCACACACACATGCAGTCAGCATGTGGACTGTGGCGCTATGTGTGAGCTGTGCTTTTAAATTTTGTGTAAACTATTCAATATTACTACATACTAGGATCGATTTCATTCATTCCTCTAACTCTCCCCTCTTTAGACTAAAACTGTTTAGTTTTCTCCTGTTAAATGTGTGTTTTGATCATACCTGTCCTTCAGGCCTGAGCCCTGTGGGTCTGGGAGCGTGGACATCCTGGTATGCCTCAGCACTTCCGTGAGAAGATGGCAGTGCACAGTAATTGGAAGCAAAGTCTTTGTCATCAGATCTCAGTTCCAATCCCAGCTCTCGTTGACTGCCTGTGTCCTTTGGCAGATATAGAACTTCTCTGCAACTCAGTTTCCCCATTTGTAAAATGGAGATCATAATGCCTCACAGAGTTTTTATAAGGATTAAATCATATGAAGCTCTGCATCACTAGTATCCTGCATAGCAATGCTCCAAAATGGTAGATGTTAGTCTTACTGGCTAGTGGTTATGACATTAAGGCTCATTTTATACATTTTATGTTCTTTTCAAAACTGGGACCCAGAGAGAATACTAAGTGAGGTCTGTTACCACTTGCCCCAAAAATAGACTAGGTCAGGTAACCATGTCAAGTTCAATAAAAAAACACAACCCTCTACATAATTCAAGGTCTTAGAGAGTCTTAAATATTTGAAAATTTCAGGTAGAATTTTGATCGTCTTCACCGGGCTCTCCCCTGGCTGCTTGGCTTTATTTGTCACTCTAGATGAGGTGGTGGAGAACGACACGCATCCTCAGAGTCATTGTTGGTAGCTCAGAAGACAATAACTAAACCTTATTCTTTCTCTGAAATTGTTTCCACCACAGAGCCAAGAAAACAATTCCCATTGGATGGTAATATTTAGAGTGTTATTAACAATCAGTTCTGATATTTTAAGACTAAGTAAATTAAGTTCTCTTTTTTTATGGCTTGCTTCCTTCAAGGTGATAATAAATTTGTCTTTTTTATAGCTTCCTTCAAAGAATACAAATTAAAATTTATAATTTATAGGATGTACATTCCTACTTTGTAGGTAACTATTTAAAGCTGCCAAATTAGATAAAGATGGCTCCCCTTTATTTTTTCCCCTTTAAATCCTATGGGGGCCGGCCCCATGGCTTAGCAGTTAAGTGCACACGCTCCGCTGCTGGCAGCCTGGGTTCAGATCTTGGGCGTGCACTGACGCACCGCTTCTCCGGCCATGCTGAGGCCGCGTCCCACATACAGCAACTAGAAGGATGTGCCACTATGACATACAACTATCTACTGGGGCTTTGGGGGAAAAAATAAATAAATAAAAAATTATTAAAAAAAAAAATCCTATGGTATGTTCCACTTAAGCCAGGACTTGCAAATCTTCAGAATCTTTATAGAAACATTTCAGATAGCAGGGAGGGAATCTAAGTGGATCAGAATACTTGTCTGCCTCAGCGTCACTAGATGGCAATGGTTGGTAAAGGCTGAGTGCACCAGTAACATAATTGGTATTGAAGCCATCCCAGATGCTAGCGTGACTTAGGAGTCTCATGCAGCCTGTCAGACAGGCATTCTGTGGAGCAGATGGCCAGTGGTCTGTGTGGGCCTGTCAGACTTGAATTAATTGAGGAAATAAATGAGTGGAATGAAGCATAGGAACCTTTCATGGTAAAAGAATAATTTGGAGAGAGGACTTAGCATCTTACCACCTGAAGTGAAAAATGGTATCATAAAATAGATCTATTTAAGCAATATTTCTAAAAGCTTCTGAATTCTTTATAGTGCTCCTTTTCTATATCACTGATAGATAATTCATCTCATGTTTTCTTAGCTAAAGAAGCACACAAACCCCCTGTGTTTATCGAGAAGCTGCAAAACACAGGAGTCGCTGATGGGTACCCAGTGCGACTGGAATGCCGTGTTTTAGGAGTGCCACCGCCTCAGATATTTTGGAAGAAAGAAAATGAATCACTCACTCACAGCACTGACCGAGTGAGGTGAGAATACCCAGTGACTTGACCTAATCCACCACTGCTCAGTCCTAATGATATATAAAAAGATACACTTTATATAGCATGTAAATCTGTGTAAGAGTCATGCTATTGATGATACCAAAGACAAAAATCACTCTTTACCTGAATGTATGATTAAGCTTTTAGAAAGAAGCTATAATGGTATGTGATGAAACACATTCTAACTTAATCTAACGGTGATTTTTTTAGAGTGTTTATCTTTATATCTAAAAGATGAATTCATTTGCTTCAATGGTGATAGAGAAACTACTCAGTGGCTTTTGTAAAGGCAGATCTTCAACTAGATATTAAATGCGCAGATTTATTCAACCTCTTGACGTCTGCTCTTCTCTCCCATTACCTTTAATGGGGCTAGCAGCCTCTCCAGAATGAGTATGACCCTATTATCCGTGACTTGCAAAATTCCGTTTCTAATGATCTAATTAAAAATGATGCTTCATGTCCAAAGCCACTTTTTAAAAATTTAGAACCCTAATGACTTTATCCTTTCCTCCAGCATGCACCAGGATAATCACGGCTACATCTGCCTGCTCATTCAGGGAGCCACAAAAGAAGACGCTGGGTGGTACACGGTGTCAGCCAAGAATGAAGCAGGGATTGTGTCCTGTACTGCCAGGCTGGACGTCTACAGTGAGTGCCACTTCATCTCATTTTGTTGCAATTACTCATTAAATTATGAAAAATTAGACATTTGGATAGCAAATCACATTACTTTTATATAATCTTATAAACAACCATAGTGTTTTATTTGCCGGAAATTTCATATTGCTCTTTCTCTTTCTATTTATAGTTTCTCAACATTAATAGTCATCTACACCAGGAGAACAGATACCCAAGTATCATTCAGGAACTTTGCGTTATTAGCAAAATATGCATGTTGATTTCTCTGACGTCGGCTAGTCAGTTGTGGTTTACTTACTGAAGCATCCTTAGGAGTTAACAGTAGGCAAAGGCATAACCACATGTTTTTCACATTTTCTTGTTACTGTGTTCTGCAAATGACTGCCTTTTAACATTTCTTCCTATATTATAATCTCATCACAGTGTCTTAATGCACTCTAAATGTGTGTGCCATTGATCCTGGAATGCATACTTTTGTGGCTTAGTGCTTTTCTCATTAATATATCTTAAGCAGCTCAGCAATAGGTTTGTGAGTGTTTGTGTGTGTATATTTGTATACCTGAATCCTAAATTTAAAGAAAATTGTTCCTATTGAATTTACAAACTAGTGTGATCTATGTGATCTATTGACATAAAGAAAACCACTAGAAAAAATTAAGAACTGATTTCACATTTTACCTCTTCTTGAGTAAGAAATAACTTTATGAGGTTCTTCATGAAATGAGTGACCTTGGCCTTCCCTACTGCCCAATTCCTTTCAATTGATTAGTGTTAAAACGCCCATCCAGCATACCTAACTACTGTAATTATTGTGGCATTTATACATTTTGAGCTTTGAAATTTTTTTTAAAAAGGGGGGAGGTGCAAATTTGGGGAGGCGACAGTTTCAAAGGCTTTCTTGTGCTGCAGTGAGTATTTTCTTTCAAGATCAACTACACGGGGCTGGCCCCGTGGCTTAGCGGTTAAGTGCACATGCTCTGCTACTGGTGCTGGGGTTTGGACCCCGGGGACGCACCGCTTCTCTGGCCATGCTGAGGCCGCGTCCCACATACAGCAACTAGAAAGATGTGCAACTATGACATACAACTATCTACTGGGGCTTTGTGGGGAGGGGGGGAGGAGGAGGATTAGCAATAGACGTTAGCTCAGAGCCAGTCTTCCTCAGCAAAAAGAGGAGGATTAGCACAGATGTTAGCTCAGGGCTGATCTTCCTCATAAAAAAAAAAAATCAACTACACTTTGTCTTTATTATCTAGCTGTTGTAGTCCCCCTACCGTTATGTATAGACACTAAAATCGGCAACATATGAGTAAATACAAAACTACCCTTAAATTTTAGAATTTCTACCATGGATGTGTTCAGTCTTTCACAAAGAACATGTGCCTGGTATATATCAAAAGACATTCTGTATTTATTTGAAACATCCAAGGGCTTTCCAATTATATCTTAGTTAAAAAAAAAATCTTAATTTTTTTTTTTTTTTTTTTTTTTTTTTGTAGCCCAGTGGCATCAGCAGCCACAGAGCACCAAGCCAAAAAAAGTACGGCCCTCAGCCAGTCGCTATGCAGCACTTTCGGACCAGGGACTAGACATCAAAGCAGCGTTCCAACCTGAAGCCAGTCCGTCTCACCTAACACTGAATACCGGCTTGGTAGAAAGCGAGGACCTGTAATCAACATTCTTGTTAAAGCTGAAACACTGAAACAGCCATTGCCTTGACCAACATATTCCTTTGTCACATTATGTAAAAGGCAAAAGCATACCTTTGACTATAAGAAATAAACACCAAAATAATATTTTTCTTACTTGATATACCAAACTTAGAGTGTAAGTAGGTGATGTGAATAGAAATGTACACATTGCACAGAAAATTCACGTTCATCATCCAATTTAAAATTTTTGGAATTGCTGTGATTAAAGTGGTCTGAAATGCCAGAATGCTAAAGGAAATCAGTTGTTCAAAGGTAACCACAATTTGTTATATCCAAAGTGCCTTTAAACACTAGCTATAGGTGCTACATAGCATGATAGTGTGGGGTGCTGAACAAGAGGCAATTGTACCACAAATAGTACTAAAATGATCCTAAAGTGGCAGTGTATTCAGACAGCTACAGTGAACCAAGTGCAATATGTGAGGATGAAAAGGAAGAGGAAATGACAAAGAAATCCAAGTAAATGCCTTGTCTTTGCAAATTGTTTTATATTAAATCATAAGGAGGAATTACTTGCCTTAAATTTTATTAATATCAAGAGTTTTCTAACAAGGTTAATACCTTAGTTCTTAACTTTTTTTTCTTTACGTGTAGTAGTTTCTTTTCATGCTACCTTGGTAGGAAGCTTATTTACAAACCATATTAAAAGGCTAATTTAAATATAAATAATATAAAGTATTCTGAATATAGCAGAAATATATTAACAAACAGTCCATTCCACAAAAGGCATCCAAACCACCCACATGACCAAGGCATAGAGTATTTGGAGGAAACAGGGGTTTGGAAGCAGGGAGGAGAATGAAGGAAAATGCTACCGGCACACTTACTCATGTTGTATTCATTTAGCTAAAAGTAGAGGGACAGGAGACACGGTAAAGGCCAGGCTTTTCTTTGGTTTTCTTCTAATCTAAAATGTAGGTGAAAAAACACTGCCATTCACAAGTTAGGGAATCTAGAGTCAGCTGGAAGTTTGGAACACATGTGCTATGGAAATTTCAGTGTGTCTGAAGTTTGTGTAGTAGTTGAAGAGTTTAGATGTGTAGAGCAAGTTGAAAATGGACTGAGACTGCAAGATGGGCATAAATGAGAAATTGCCTATAGGATCTAGTTTACTCGAGGGAAATGGAGACTTGGGAAAGACAAAAACAGGTTTGTGCCGTAATGTATTTTTTTCAATGGCACCAAGATATGGTGAATGGAAAATATTAGTCCACTTCCCTGCTGCCATGACACCTGGCCTTCAGAAGGTGCTGGGTTCCGAGTGTTTGTATAGGCATCTCAGTGAAGACTGATTTTTGAATGCCTATAATTCTGCATCAGCTAGATTGAGTTGATTCTGACCAGACTTGATGGTTTTAAGTCGGAACCGATAAACTTTAAAAAGGAGAAAAAACAATTTGGCCTAATATTATAAAACATGAGGCTTTAATGGTACTTTGCTATGAAAAGAAAACACTGTATTCCTTATGCAAAACACATATATCTTTCATTATTTATAATAAAAATGTTGAACTCTCTTAGTTACTCAATTCAATATGTAGTATTTTCTTAAATAATTTTATATCTGTGTACCACCCCATATATTTCATATTACTGCTTCACATGTACAGCTTTCTATCTCTTTGTAAGAACACCAACCAACCAAGTTTTAAATGATTAATAGGCTTGAGCACCGGGTGGCAGATGTTCTATGCAGAGTGGTACAGTTTTCTTTGACCACACTTATATGCATTGCTAATATGGAATTTAAGATACCATACAAAGTCTCTCATGGGCCTATCTGTATTGTAGAATTATGACTTATGTCATATCTTACTTGCCAAATTTTTCTGAATGTGACTTTTTGCTAATTTGCTGGGTTTGGGATTAAGTAGCATTATTTTGCCACCTTTTATGTTGTATTTATAAAAAAAAGTGCTATCATACTACTTTGGATTGTTGTGCTGGTATAATGTGGATTTAACATCAATAAATATTTAACAAATAATGGTTGCAATTTTGTGAAGCAGAATATTCAGTTGTTTTAGTTTTCTATTGCTACTGTAATAATAAATTAGTACAAACTTCGAGGCTTAAAACAACTCATTTATTAGCTCACAGTTCTGTAGGTGAGAAGTTCAGGAATGACATGGCTGGGTTCTCTGCTCAGTCTTCCAAGGCTCAAATCAATGTGTCCGCTGGACCATACTGGCATCTGCAGCTTGAGACGCTCTTCCATGCTCAAGTAGCTGTGACAGAATTCAGTTCCTTGCGGTTGTAGGACGGAGGTCTCATTTAGTCTGTCAGCTAGGGGCCACTTTCAACTCCTACAGGCCACCTGCATTCTTGTCATGTGGTCCCCTCCATCTTCAAAACCAGCAAGGACTATCTCCCTCAACAAATTCCTCTCACATTTTGAATCTCTTGTTAAGAAGGGCCCAGTCCCTTTTAAGGATCACCTGTTTAGGCCAGGCCCCCCCAGATAATCTCTCTTTCTTAAAATCACCTGATTTGAGAACTAATTATATCTGCAAAATCCCTTCAAAGAAGCACCTAGATTTGTGTTTGATTGGATAACTTGCGAGAAGGTCTATGTACACCAGAAGATGGGGATATTAGGAGCGATCTTAGAATTCTGCCTGCCATATCAGTTTATTGTATATATGCGTGTAAATAATACCAGTTCCTGCGATGCCCTATGGGAAAAGTATTCTCTGACCACATACCATTTCCCCTCTTAGAAATTAAATATACAAGGTTCCGGGTCAAGATGGTGACACAGGAGGATCCCAAACACATCTCCCACAGACACACCAAGTCTCCAACTATATACAGAACAATTTCCTCTGAAAGAAACCCACAAACTAGCAGAGTGATTCCTATGCATCAGGCAAATGAGAAGAAAGCCACGTCAAAGCGGATAGGAGAGGCTGAGACACGATCTCGCCCCACCCCCAGCATGGCAACCCACAATTGGGAGGGAACTCACAACCCTCAGCTTCTCCCTAAAGAGCAAAGGATTTGAACCCTGCACTGGGCATCCCAACTTTTAAGACCTGCACCTAAGAGATGAGCCCTCAAAACATTTAGCTTTCAAAGCCAACGAGGCTTGTGTCCACTAGACCCATAAGGCTATAGTTATCCGAGAAACATTTCTTAAAAAGCTCACATGGACTCACCCACCCCAGGGCCCAGCACAGAGGCAGCCAACTGAAAAGTGCCCAGTCTTCCTGGGAAGAGGCCTATTCACTTACCTTAAAGCTTCAGCCTGAGGGGTAGACATCTAATTTAATGCACATCTAGAGACCTACTCAAATACTCTCCAAAGACAGAGGCCGGCAGGTGGCATCTTTGCACTCTCCCTCGGCCTCACTCCAGGTCACAGGTATCTCCCAGAAAGAAGCTTGTGCACATATCTGGCACCCTGGTTTTGGCAGGTGCCACCCAGCGGACACCCCTTGATCTGGCTCTGGTGGCCCGTGAGGCTTATACTAGGAGGTCCCATAGGACTGTAACGGACAAACAGTTCTTAACTGGCTACCACCCCAGGGCACAGCAGAGAGGCAGCAGACTGACACACCCAGCCTTTTTGTAAAAGAGGACAATTAGCTTGCCTTCATAGCTGCCACCTGAAGGGTAGGCTTCTAATTAAACACACATCTAGAGGCCCACAGTAATCCTCTCCAGAGACCTTGAAGGGTGGACATTATCTTCACCCTCTCCTTCTGCCTCAATCTAGGTTGCGAGAATCCCCTGAAAAGGAGCTGGTGCACATGTCTGATGCCCTGGTTTTTGCAGCTGCCTCCCAGGGGACACTTTCGATGGCCTGGCTCTGGCAGTCAGTGGGGCTTACATTCACTGGTCCCATAGGACTGTAATGGAGAAACAGTTCTTAACCTGCTATGCTCCCAGGGCACAGCATAGAGATAGTACACTGAAATGTGCCCCCAGTCTTTCTGTGAAAGAGGACAATTACCTTGTCTTCATGGTTGTGGCCTAAGAGGCAAGCTTCTAATTAAACACACATGTAGGGGCCAACTACAATCCTCTCCAGAGACCGAGGAGGCCAACAGGCACCATCTTCACACTCTAAATCTGCCCCGTCCCAGGGCACAGGTGTCTCCAAGAAAGGAGCTTGTGTACACATCTGGCACCCCAGCCTTTGTGGCTGCCACCCAGAAGACACATCCCTTGATAGCTTGGCGCTGGTGGCCAGCAAGGCTTGTGTTCACAGGTTCAATGGGATGGTAGCAAACAGAAAAATAGCTCTTAACTGACTATAAACCCAGGGCTCACTGCAGAGGCAGCAGACAGAAGCACTCTTCTCCAAGTCTTCCCCTGAAAGAGGTATATTTGAACACTTTAAAAGCTGCTGCCTGAGAGTCTGGCTTCCAATCAGCCTGAATCTAGGGGCTGACTGAGACCCTCCCCTTTGGGACACTAACAGATCTTGGCACATCCTCAACTACTGGGAGCCACTAAGAATAAAGTAGGCTGCTTGGACAATCACAAAGATTTGAGAGACAACCAAGAACTAGGGCAGGGGTGAATGAGAATTTTCATCTCCTACACAAGGTCACTCTTTTAAGACTGGGAGAGGTGGCTATTTTATCTAATGCATAGAAAGCAACATAGAGTGTCAAGGAAAATGAAAAAACAAAGGAACATATTTTAAAACCAAAGAACAAGGTAAAAAAGGAACATATTTTAAAACCAAAGAACAAGATTAAAAAAAAATAAAAACAAGGAAAAAACCTTAATGAAATGGAAATAAGTTATTTACCCAATAAAAGAGTTCAAAATACTCCTAAAGATGCTCACCAACCTCAGGGGAATAATGAATGAACAAACTGAGAACTTCAACAAAGAAAGAAAATATAAGAAAGTACCAAATAGAAGTCACATGGCTAAAGAATACAAAAACCAAACTGAAAAATATAATAGAGGGGTTCCACAGCAGACTAGATGAAGCAGAAGAAAGGATCAGTGGACTCAAAGGGCAGAGGAACTCATCCAATCATAGCAACAAAATGAAAAAGAAGGAAAAAAGGTGAAGATAGCTGAAGGGACTTATCAGACAATATCAACTGGACCAACATTTGCAATATAGGGGTCCCACAGGAGGAGAGAGAGAGAAAGGGGCAGAAAACTTCTTTGAAGAAATAATAGTTGAGGGCCGGCCCCGTGGCTTAGCGGTTAAGTGCGCGCGCTCCGCTACTGGCGGCCCAGGTTCGGATCCTGGGCGCGCACCGACGCACCGCTTATCCCGTCATGCTGAGGCCGCGTCCCACATACAGCAACTAGAAGGATGTGCAGCTATGACATACAACTATCGACTGGG